TGTTAAAGATAAAGATACCTACATCAGACATGGCCACGGGCGGCCCGGCCCGTGGCCCGACCCGTGACCCGGTACCAGCCCGGCCCGGCCCGGTACCGGTACCGGCATGAACAGTGACGGGTTCGAGAACCGGACCGCGGCCAATCCGGTCCGGTTAATATTTTATATATAACAAGTAAATCATACCTCATTAATAAAATTATTAGTATTTATTTAAGTAATTAAAAAATATGGTATAGTTTATTTATTGTATATAAAAAGTCGGTTCCACTATAGAGTCAAGTGTTGACTTCATAACAAAATTGGTGTATTAACATACATGTATGGTTAATCTATGTGAAACTGAAAAATTATTAGGAGTCATATGTCGCTAAATGTGTACTTATATAATTAAAACTTAAAAGTTCAAATTAATTTTGGACTGGGATGCGGTTAGTTTGAATACACTGTTTGCTAACGAAAAAAATTGGTAGGATTCTTTAAATAAATTTTGTTGCATCTAAAATTATTTTTAATATAAATAAAAATACATATTTAAATAAAATATAGAATTTTAAAGTATTTATCAATTAATTTAAATATTTAAAAAAATTTAAAATTGTCAATAATATTTAATTAATATATTAATTTCATTACAAAGAGTATTAAATATATATTAAGATTCTAATAAATTAAATTATGGTCAAACTAATAAATCATTTAGTAAATAACTTGATTTGTTCAATAAAAATCTGACTCTAAGAACCTCGAATTTGTCGTACACTAATAAACGTTGTAATACAACATTCTTTTGTTTGCATAAATATTAATAAAATAATATATAAATATCCATAAATCATTGAACATGTCGTCATAAAAACATTATTGATCAATATGACTATTTGGAGTTCGGACCAGATCGCATTAATCATAAAGAAGTATTTTTAATACTAAAATTTTTATTTAGTTTCAATATCGATTTAAACTTGTCAAACTGACCAATAACTTGGTCACCCGAGATCAACCCCACTGTCATGTTTTGAACTATTTTAAATATCAACAGTAAATAATTCAATCAACATGGGCACTGATCTAATATAAACAACCGATTGAATCAAAGAAATTTCTATATTTTTGTTATATATATTTAATTTTGTAAATAAATATTTTATGCTTCTTGTAATAAATATTTATAACAAATGAGAATATATTAAGATTATAAAATATATATCTAAAGATAAATTATTTATATTTTACTTTATGTATATTTATAAAAAATAAACATAATAATTCAAAAAATTAAAATTTTGATTATGCAATTGAGACGACAACGTGATACCGATATAAGTTATCACATACAAGGGATATTTTGCATATCAATTATTATTTTTGTTGTATGTCATTCAAAAGATATTCAATATTATAAAGAGATGGTGTTGTA